AGCATTATGGGTAGTGACAGCATGAAATCATCACCGGTTAGTCATGTTCATCGATTACTCTATACACTCAGGTGGTTGGGGTTCAAATCAATTTCATTTTATAGAATTCTGTATCATAACCCAATCAACAGATATTCACACTAAACTTATACAAAGGATACAAATGAATCAAGAGAAATGATGGCAGAAAAACAAGATTTAACTGTTAATTGTGACAGTTTAACAAGGTTTTATGTATAAGGTGGCAAAGTATATCAAGGTTATACTGTTAATGGTCACAGTCAAACAAGATTTAACTGTTAATGGTAGCAGTATAACAAGGTTTAACTGTTAATGGTAACAGTATGACAAGGTTTAACTGTTAATGGAAGCAGTATAACAAGATTTAACTGTTAATGGTAGCAGTATAACAACGTTTTACTTATAATCTTAACAGAGTAACAAGGTTTTACTGTATAATGGTGACAGTATAACAAGGTTTAACTGTCGATGCTTACAGTATAACAAGGTTTTACTTTATAATCTTAACAGAGTAACAAGGTTTTACTGTATAATGATGGCAGTATAACAAGGTTTCATGTTATAATGATGACAGTATAACAAGGTTTATCTGTTATAATGGTGGCAGTATAACAAAGTTTTACTGTATAATGATGACTGTATAACAAAGTTTCACTGTATGATGATGACTGTATAACAAGGTTTTATTTGATAATGATGGCAGTATGGTTTTACTGTTAATGGTGACAGCTAAACAATGTTTTACTATATAATGGTGATAGCTAAACAAGGTTTTACTGTAAAATGTTTACAGCATAACAAAGTTTTACTGTATATGATGACAATATAACAAAGTTTTGTTTTATAATTGTGACAGTATAACGGTATTTCTGTGTTATGGTGGCAGTATAACAAAGTTTTGTTTTATAATTGTGACAGTATAACAGGGTATTTCTGTGTGATGGTGGCAGGGTAACAAAGAATATAAAGAAATTGTTTCAAAGACATGAAATACATTGAGCATTAGGTGAAGTATCGGGTGAAACATGGGGCATTATATTAGGTTTCACAAACATTTTCAAACAATCTGAAGTATTGATAATTCCATGTATACAAGAGATACAAATCATGCATTCTAGAAAGATAACCGTTGGTAGATAGCATTTATACAATGTTTGATGTGTCATACCTGAAGAAATGACACCTGATGAATGACACAATGATTCGAAATGTATTTACCCCTGGGCTAGGCATGCTACAGGGATGCCTGTTGGAGCATGTCTTATTCACAACTAGCCTTGAACTGGGGATATTTTCGCTGGAGGATGTTCCATGATTTGTAGTTGTTTCATTGTGTAACCCGTCACACTATCAAAGGGACATCAATTTTATTTAACCATGTAACAACATTGCTCCTACTTTTTTTTATTTTTACGTTCATCAGTCCTGGGCAGCAATGTAGAAGAGATACATGCTTGTCTATAAAATCGTGATAAATCTGAAATGTTAAAAGATTTATCTCTTTTTTTATATCTTACGATTGTTTGGTGACATTTCCAGGTTTAAAGGCCTCTGAGAAACATGGAAATGAATTGTGTTACATTATGTGAGCAGACGGCAAAACAAGGTTTCTGTCCTTATAATTTATAAGATAGAAGGCTCAAGATCTTAAGAAACCTTTTGAAAAAAAAAACCACGTAAACTTGGAAACAATTTAAAGTTATTGGTGAAGACAAGCTTTTTAGTGCAACGTGTGTTGTTCAGTGTTGATGTGAATGTTTTGAAATGTGTGCTCGTAATGTCAAGATTCGGTGTGTATTTGAAATTTCCAGAAGTTGACAAAAGTAAATTCTGACAGTGGAGAATGGTCGGAAAGAAGACACGAGAATTTGGAGTACTTGAAATGGCAATGAGACTAAATATGTGTCACTATACTGTGAAAAAGAATTGTTCTAACTCATTGCATTCAGGATTTAATTCACATTTTCAAGGAAGGTAATGTTCTAAATTTTAAAATAAATACGTTTTTAAATTACAGTGTTAAAGGAGTCATGCAAATTTCTGTTTGAAATATGCCACTATAGCTGTATTGCCAAACAGTTTCCATTGAAAATTTTCCAGTGAAATTGATGTAAAGTAAAAATCCATGAATTTTACATTCAATGATAATTTTCCTAATACGCAATGAATCACTCGCGTCCAGTGCTAGCTCATCTTTAGCTACCACGGCTACACAAAGTCACTAGCATATATGCACGATATTGAGCCATAAATTCCAACTTAATTTAATTGAAATTTCAGAATTGCTCACAAAAAACTTTTTAAATCAATATGTGTCACAGAAGAAATTTCAAATCTCGGCAGATGCATACTCTCCTCATAGTTCCTTCTTGGTGAAGCCATTACGATTTCTAGTTTGAAAGATTAGCTTTTTCACCCAAGATAACGTAAAATATGTCGTTGAAAATTGACTTTATGCATTCCGTGTGTAAATTCGGAACAAAACACATGACAAACTTTATTACCCCCATGAGTGAGTATCATTTTTCAGTGATGTCGCAGACAAACAGATATTGTCAGCTCGACAAAGTCACGGAATTTTAATATCACACGATCTCACAGATATGATGTGCTAAAAATTCATTCAATATGCAAAAATTATAGCTGTAGTGCATCGCATTTCTGAATTCCTGACAGAAAACCAAACCCTGCCAGATGTTTGACAGTCGAAGTGGCATTAGACATTCAAAATATAATCTAATTCCATTTTTTTTGGCAATTTTGTTTTTTTTAATTATCACTTATTATATTGTGTTCATATTTCATTTCTCGTTAAAATCCTGACACAAAGGGTTTGTTGGAATAAATATCTATGAAAATAATGATATTTTAATGAAAAATTCCATCATGTACATTTCCTGTTTTGAAATTTGCAATAGCAAGGTTTTAAGTGATGGAATTCATGAAAAATGTCTTTGTTTTTTTCTTAACATTTGTAAACCTTTATCAATTCCATTTAATGGGTGGGAGAAAATCTGAAAAGATTTATTCAAAGATTTGGATTAGTATGAAAAATAGGCACTATATTTAAAATACACCAATTGTTAGTCATATAAATGGATTGAAAAATTGGTTATGATAATCAAATTTAAAAAAATAAATAAAAAAAATTGAGGTCTAGAACTTTAAAAGCAAATTAATCCATTGCATGATTTATCCCCTCAGTCACCAGTAGACATTCTGACTACAAACTTTTCAGACTTGAAATACATATGTGAACATTTTTACTGTTTTATTTGTTTGTTTTGCATATCAGTAAATTGTTCACTTCAGAATTACACGTGGGGATACTGCCAGGCGTGTAGGTGACAACCTTGCTCCAGGACTCCTGGGAGAGTTCGGAGATTTGTGTTTTTGCTCTAAAACAATTCACACAAATCTAAATAGATACATGTTTACTATATTCATGCTTTTAAAATCATTAACTTTATGCCGTATTGAAATCCAGGGGTCTGCGTACGTTATTGCTTTTGTCATATGAAGGACATGATGTCGCAGGAGGAAAGTTAAAATGGCAGAAAACTGACATCACACATTTCTTAGAATCTCTCGAAGTTTATGTAATGTCTCTGAACATGTGAAGTTATTGATTTACAATCATAACTTTCTGAGGGGGGGCACATCATAGATTGATAGGGGGGATGACACATCTGTGCAGGTCAAGGTCAAGGTATATGGGGTGGGGGATTGCACCAGGAGAGACTACTATCACTGCTCTGTAGTTTTATGTATGAGACAAGACAAGGCCAGCTCTGTTTGTATACAGAGGATGTGAGGAGTTTCCATGTTTGGGATGTGTTGGCACTATGTTATGATAAGTTTAACAGAGGTGACCCAGTACGTTATCATCATTCCTGTTGGCATCACATCAGAAATGGGTCTCCAGCAGAGAAAAATGTATAAAAATCACGCCTGGTTTTACATTCACTTTCCCTATGGCCGTCTGCCACTAATGACCGGTTTCATACGTTTGGTGTTGGAGATAAATTGTTATATCGCTTTTCTGATAATTATCTTGAAAAAGCGATGAAATGATTATTTAAACTGTTCCATCATTAATTTAAACTGATTTCACTTCCTGATTATGTGGAGACTGCTATGGTGATACACATATTCATGCTTGTAGCTGTTGGTAAAATCGGAATGTCAAATTTATTAGAAGATTCAAAGTGTTCGTCTTCATTTTTATCCATCTTGGATAAAACATACACAAATTTTCCTTTTGAAGTACGGTATTTTCAAAACTATAAAAATGAATTAAAAACACATTGATTAAACGTACATCATTCCAGCTGACGCTATCTACAGGGACACATTAAATACGGGATGAAACTGGAGTTTTGGGGTATATTTTGTCGTGAAGCCCACTAAATTCAATTTTACATTCTGATGAAAAGAGAATATTTGTGTATAATGTGTGTAATTTTTTTAAAGTAAACACCATTTACTTACACGGCTCCTGAGGCTGAACAAACATTAAAACCACAGCCAATGGTATGATAGGACCAGGTTGCTAGGCAACACTTGTTGCTTCGCAACCGTTACCTTCTAAAGTAAACCAGTAATCCCATTATATGTTAATGAACAAACCATCATTGCGCTTTTGTAATGTTTTTAACATTGACTCATAGCCGCACTGAGGAAGTGTAATGAAACAGTTAGAAAGCAAACAATATTTTATCTATTATTACTCTAAATGTTGTCATGCTTCCAAAAGTAACATCTTTTCTTTCGTAACATGAGCTTATTTTGTTACTGTAAATACGACTGTCAGTGATTAATTGTTTCGAGCAATTGTTTCTTTTTGCAGAAATGCAGAATTCTTGGTTGTCACAGTAGCAAGTTTAATAAAAATTGGATTGGTGGTTTTTTTCTGGACAGTTGTGCAGATATGATTAGTTGTGGTAGTAATATGTTTTTCCTTCTTTCCTGTTTTGCAGTTTTGATGACAGCAGTTCTATCAGTAGCGGGGACATCAGTGATACGATTAATGAAATCAGTACGGACGAGGGAAACCTCACCGGAGGGTCATCACGCGACAGTGAACGCAACCCCTACGGGAGCCTCAAACGCACCCCGAAAGAATTGGGCAGGAATATCGCAAATGGCAACTTCCATGGCCAGTTCCCCACACAGAAACGTGCACCAAACTTGGGCACTAGTGCTTTCCTAGGAACTGATTACTCAAGTGATGCCAATCCAGTTTCCGGATGGCGGAAATACTCTCTACCTCAAACCAACCGCCTTCTGAGCAGCGACCCCGCTGACTACGCACACCTGTATAACGGCTACGACCACAGCCAGTGGCGGCCCAATCAGGGCAACGTGGGCCAGTTAAGGAAGTTATCTAACGCCAGTCAGCCCGAAATACACCATTACAGGGCACACAGTGCCGACGCAGCCGACAGCCACAGCGATAAGGGAGGCTACTCCAGTGCAGGGTTTCTCACAAAGAGGGACAGTGAAACTAATACTGATCAATCGCATCTCTTGGACTCAAGCATGCGGCGCATGCAGACACAGCGAGCTCACTCGGCAGGTGGGCAGGTTACCTATGGTTACCGGCGTCCGCTTAGCAACACGAGTACCTCCTCTGTGGGAAGTAACAAAAGTACTGGTTCTAATACAGGTAAAACATCGGCAGTAGGAAGTCGCCTGGCTAAACATGGCATGTTGGTGGAAGGTCAAACGAACGGTAAGTCAATGGATGTGAATGGGGGTAGCTCAATACCTCGTCCCGGAAGTGCGACCGGCATGAGGGCCACAACCCCAGGGGGAGGCAACTCCCGGACTGATATGGGGCCAGAGGCCTATAGTAGTGCTACCCTCGAACGCAAGAAGAAGGGGCTCAATGGAGCTCCAAAATCTACCAGCGCAGCGCAGACAGATCCAGGGGAATTGTACAAATCAAACACCCTGGGAAGGACAAAGAAGGTGTTCGGCAGCCGGAACAGTCTGAGCAAGACCCAGGCACAAGGTGAAAATGGTTCTCTGTGTAGTAGTACAATCATATCAAATCCACATGCAACTTATAGTAAGGCAGGGCCCCAGTCCCCGCAGAACGGGTCACACAATGGCACGTATGTGGCTATGGAGTATGGTAGTCCACGCAATTCCGGCGCAGGGCAGGGTGTCTGGCTCAAAACGCCAAATGGCACTATGGCCATGGGCATGTCAGAAACAGAGTCCATGGAATCTATATCGTCCCACGCTTCCAGTATACAGGCTCAGATCCAACAAGCACGGGCCTTAAGTGGTGCTAGTGCTCGCATCCTCGCACACCGCGACGGTCAGGGCACGCCTAATGGCCTGTCACGGTCCAATAGCCTCAAATCCAGCCAATCTGACTCTGTGTACGCCCAGCATTCGCAAATGTCGGAAGACATCACTCGCACAAACTCCTTCTCTCAACTTCCGAGCCCTCCCGCACCCTCCTCCCCAACACCAAGCAACTCTTCTCATTCATCGTCACGCTTTACATACCCCATGACTGCTGCGTACGGCAGCGGCAGCGCCTACCCGACAAACTCGGCCATGGTGAGGTCTAACACACAGTCCAGTCTGCCGTACGGAAGCCTTGCCTTGTCCAAGCTTAACAAGGAAGAGGACAGCAGTCGTGAGTGTTGTGTTTTTGTTAGTCACGTAGTCATGGCAACAAGTGCCAAAACCTGTCCAAAATTTTTCAAAAAACCATGAACGGTGTGCAATTTTAAAAGTAAATGCATCACACCTCAAAAGAACAGTTTTAGACCCAAAGTATGACAAAAACACAAGGTAGTCAGTTGTAAAACAATTTTTCACGATTTGGGGTCAGAACATGGCTTATCAGCTGATATTTTTGACGTGGGAAATGAAATTTTGTTTTATAACCATTGGTGTATACCTTTGCTTGTTCCCAGTCATCAGTCAGCATTTTCCATGCAGCAATCTCTAGTAAGTTTCTACTCTACCAATGGAAACACTTGAACTCATTCACCCCTGAAGACACATTTGAATTCTTCCATTTCAAAGGTTGAAGTAGTTCATTATGAAATTTCAGGGGTGAATGAGTTAAGGCTTTGAATAAAAAAAATTATCAAAATTTGATTGGCTGAGCTTGAACACTACTTCGAGATATGCATGAAAAGATGTTGATTCGTTGAAAACCTGGTTGCTTTAGCCGTTTCCAAAAATATTTCAAATGGTTGTGGTATTTAGAATTTCTCGGTTGGATTATGAAATCCAAACCAACTTGTTTTGGACAGGTTCCTTATCTATTGATGGTTGTGGAGAAATACTTTCCTATGCTTGTCTGCGTTGATATTGTAAATTGTAGATATTTTTGTCTCCTGTAATCACAAAACCCCTAATACCCACACTTGTTCAAAGCTTTCAACATTCAATTTCACATTGTGAGGCACCAACCAGACAAGAGTAGGAGGGTATTTAAGGTCTTTCCCCAACCAAACACTTGTAAAGCATGGAATAGTTTTTTGAGATTTAAAAAAAAATGATGTGAATGAGCTAAAAGATTTGAGAGATAATACCAGAAAATATGCAGAATACGAACTTGAAAAAAAATTATGTAACAAAAGCTATTCCATGTTTTGAATTTTGTATATTTTCTGTTGATTACAATTTATATAGAAACTGTTTTAATGTTAAAGACTCTTTATGTAGATATATTATTCTGATGTGTTTTTTAGAAACTTTCTAAATATTGATAGTAAAAAAAAAAAAATGAAAACTATTCAACATTTTCTTGAATAATTGCCATAGGACAAATTTAAAAAAAGAAAGATTTTAAATATCAAATATCTTAGGAGAGGTATAATTTGGAACTCATTTTTAAACCTCCTCCTACATATTTCTCTATGGCAATTGAACAGGAAAATATTGAAACATACATTTGTTATTATTTTATGCAATTTATAAAAAACTTTTCTACTGATTTCTTCTTGTAGATATCCAATGTTTCTGTTTTGTTATTGTAGTACATGTACTTAATCCTCCAACCTCTGTTCAGCCATCTTTCCATGTATCTGGAGTTTTCTTTCCGTTTTATCTCATTGGTATTGTTACGTATACTGCTTGCTGTACCATTCTATTTTTAGTAACAGCGACCCTTATACCAACCAATATAGACTCTGCAAATGCTCACCTTTGTACTGCTGAGAAACAATGCTGAAAATGATATCTTTCATTTCATTTGCTCTCAGGCTGAGACCAACATCAACCTCTTGGATAAACTGCCAAAATGTTGTTTCCCCCCCACGTTTTTCTGTATTCGTAATGGATATACTACTTTGATGTCTGCAAAACCATTGCAGTATAAAGATATGTTTTCCTTTCAACAAAACTAGATATATTTTCTGTTGTCGTTTCTCATAGACTCATCTTTACGTTTTGCTGCATTTTTTCCCCTTCACTTCTACATAATTACCTCCCTTCCCATTGCATTTAGTTCACATAATCAATCATGTGCCACCACCCCCGGGGTCAAGGGTCACTGGTAGTCTAGGTCAATTCAATGTTTGGTCTAGGTGCAATACTTGCTTTCTATCCTATTTTCTGTCCGCACATCACATCTTATAAGTTCCTTGATGTAATTCAACTATTTATCGTGATCATGCTTTCATCACTTGATTTAATTTCTTGAAAAAAATTCTTTCGAAAGTTTTTTCCATGATGAGAGATATATGGGTTGGATCTGGCAGCAGGGGAAAAGGGGACTAAAGCACTGTAGTAACACATTTTAAGGATTTATCCGTTTAATGGTTATTTTAAATGATTTATCTGATATTTCATAAAGCACCTGTGTCTGAGATTCAGAAACTGGTGGTTTAACGGCGGAAGTACAGTGTGGTAGCTGTCAGCAGCTGAAACGAGGATACGAGTGCCAACAAAAAGTGTTGGGGATGTTTTCAAAGAAACCTTGTGTGTAGTACCTGGCCAAAGCACAATCGTACATGGCCTAGTCTTTGAAAAGATTGTGTCAAATTAATTCTAATTTTGTTCATTTAGGAAACTGATTTTTAGGACAGTTTTCAGAACTATTTTGATTTCGCGCAATTTGTTTGATCAATTTTTATGGTTCAATCATTATTGTGTTTGTTTCTGAAAATGGCAGTAAGGATCCTAGAGAAAAAAATACAGAATCATGAAAAAAATCACAAACAAATATTTAACTACAAGGGAGGTAACCTTGTACTGTTTTTGATGAAATCTATTTGATCATAATTTGGAGAAAATTCAAAACATTTTTTTAAAGTTTTTAAATATTTTGAATTCTTGAGTTACCTTCCTTTACAGTCTGAAATGGCTTCTGAAACCAAATTTTTAGATAAATGTCTTTTTTCGTCAGTTAATTAATATGTATATATTCTACTTCATGTAGCTCTATTATAAAATGTTTGTATATAATGCTCAACTACTTTGCATGATGTTCTATCAAAGTTACATGATCAATTTATTCATTCATTCATCATTCATTCATTCATTCATGCATTCATTCAAACCAACGAGTTACACTTATTTTATAGTAGTGAAATAGCATTGCTGTAGTCTAGCATCGAACAGTTACAACATACTCTATAGAAATTTATTCGGGATGTTTCTCAGAAAATATGACACAAAATTAGTTATTAGTGCATTTCGAAGGTCCATCATTTTGAAGTACCATAGAATAACAAAAATGTCTGTCTGTATGCGAAGTCAAATCACAATGTTTTGAAAAAAAGTATGCTTGTCATATTAATTGGTATAGAATCTGACAGCAGAAGAACTTTTTCTACACAACCAATCGAATAAATGTGTGAAGCTTACGAATAAATACAAGCCAAACATTGACATCATGATGAAATGTCGTACTTAATCACAATGAAAAACGGAGAAGAATAATCAATAGCCATTTTACGTTCGTATCTTTCTCGGTCGTGAAAAACCCATTATGAAAAGGTGATGGTGAATAAGTCCAGACTGCTTTAATTTGAATCGATACGCGAATGAAATTTTTATATTTTTTTTACCTCACAATGTAAAGGTGTTTCAGTATTTTGTTTGTATTGACTTTCGAAAGGGATGCTATTTCCTGGGTACCTATCTGAAGCTATCTGTTTACCGTTTTGTCTGAACTGGTCTTGTGTGTGTAACCCTTTTCATGATTTCCATTCATCTATCACCATTTTCATGACCTCCTGTTTGTCTTTCATCGTCCTCATTATCTTTCATTCACCATCTTTGTGACTTCTGAGTCACAGTCTTTTCATTCCATCACCGTTGTCACGGGCCGTCTGCCATTTTGTGCTCTGCTGTTTGTCCTTGTCTTGAGAAATAACAGATATTTTAAGGTGTTATTACTTGATTTTGTTGGGATGTTTTCCAATCTTTCGCTTCAATTTCGAAAGATTTTCAATCATTTTTGTATCAAAGCTAAAAATGTTAAAATATTTCTCCAGGGTTTCTACCGTGATAGATTTATCAAAATATAAATAGTTTGGTTTGAGATTTCTTTCTTAATTTTTGTTTGTAAGACATTTCCTTGCATTGTACATGTGCTGTAGTTAAGCAAGGCAGACAGATTGGGCCAATGTTTTACCTGGTGTAATGAATTCATATTGTACCTGGCCTTTTTGTACCTGGCTGTACTAATTAACGAGAAATAGAAGTGTAGTTGTTGTTCATGCATGTTTCTACTACTTGTTTCACTCACAGGTCTGACAAAATCCTCCACTTTGGACTATAGTTATTTCTCGGGCGACTATGATTATTCTTATTCCTCCGGTAAGTTGTAGTCATGGTGACAATACCGTAGGACGCCTAGCTAGCTGAGTTGATTGTTGTAACTGTGGTAGTCCGTCTGCTGCTGTGAATGCTGTTTAGACTTTTTAGAGATTGCCATGGTAACAAGACCTGTTGAAGTTGGCAGAAGGGAGACAACTCTAAAATATTTTTTGACAAAAAACACCTTAGTTGCAATGCAAGGGAGGTAAATCCTCTGTCACTCTGTTCTAACAAGTTTTTTTCCTTGTTTGCTGTATTTCTTTTTCTAACTGTAGATGTTTTCATTGATTAATAATAATGCTTGAGAATATATTCTTTTTTATTTGACAGGTGTTTCCAGAATTTTGTATTCAACATTTGTAGTTAAACGACACATTTATAGTGACACTGTAGACTTGTAGACTGCATATATGCATGTGTATGTTTGTGTGGTCGAGATTAAGTGTTGTCACATTACTGATTTACATAAGTACAAGAGATGTTTGCTGCAAGTTTCACTCGGAATGCATATCACAAATAAAAATGAAAAATGAAAAAAATTATATATCACAAATATGCATGACACTTGATTTCTATTTAAAGCTTCTCACTGTTTTTAAATTTCAACCAATTTAAACTTAAATTTGAATCAATTTTTTTACAGATTGACGAAAAATCTGTCAATTTTATAAATTTTGTTTATTCTTTATAAAAAGAAGCAAAATATCTATTCTAAATGTTCAGAAACAGTACATATTTCTGGGGATATTCTTCTGATATAATTTCCTGAGGTGAAATTTGCAGATTTTAAGAATTTTTCTTGTTAACCCGACATAATCTAACAGCCTCGCAGTGATGTATATTTGGATTTTGTTCTCATGTCGGCCATTATGTTTTACAGTACACGGTTCAAACCTGTCGCTGGTATCCAGTTCATCTTCCATATATTCCTCAGTAAGTTGTTGACTTGCACTTTCATCTTAATTTTCCAATATAAATGTATTAAGTTTCTTAATTTGAAGAGAGGAAGGCAAGATTGATTCACACTTCACTAGGAAATATATATACAATTCTTGATATTTTGATTTATGGATTTTTAGAATGTCAGTGCATTCATAGTATCATAAATGCATTGAATGTTTGTGGGGATTCGGTCTGTTATTACCATTAGAGATAGGGATACCCTGTAGTAATCATGGTGTCTGTCTGTCTGTCCATCCGTCCATCCACACTTTCATTCACAGAGATCGTCTCAGAATCCCCCCCCAAAAAGACTTGAAAGTTGACCTGGAGATAAGTAAATGTGCGATAGGGGTTAAAAAGTTTCTAAGGTCAAGGTCATTGTAACTAAAATAAGACCAGGGGTGGTGGGATATGGTGAGGCACATTGCAGGGCCCCTTACTGACCTGTTAGTGTTCTTGTTCTATTTGACTGTTACTATATACCAATACATAAACCATTGCAGTGAAAACTAAAGTAAATCTACATATTTACACAAAATGATGAATCCATTTTATATTCTTCAGCTTTACAACCAAATATGTCAGAAATAAGCTCATAAAAATATTTCAATCTTTTTATACAATCTTTTAGAAGCCTTCTATGATATGAACTTAAAAAAAAAAAAATCTAAACAAACTTGTAGATTTTTTTCTGCTAGTACCAATATGTTTTAACTACCGGTATTAAACTTGTACGATTAATAAGACACCTACTTTCCCGATTCATTCAGATCTCGTGAAAGGGGAGATAACTTTTGGAAGTTAACAGATGTGTAAGGTAATCTCCTACTGGTATCTTGAAGCAAATTTCAGTTGTGGCTCTAACCTCCGGCAATTGGTCTTTAAAATGTTCTCGTTTTTGTTTGTTTATGCGTTCACCTTAGCAACCTAAAAATAGCTTAATCTGGAAATCAAGCGTTATATTTTTAAAAGATTCTATTTACAGTTTTTGTTCAGGGTCTAAGGAATGTTTGAAGCAGATTGGTGTTTGAATTCCTCAGACTATATTTCAGAAATAAACAGGCCTGTAATGCTAGTTTTTCTGGCTCTGTTCGAGTATTAAAATACACATTTCACATAGTTTTCTGATTGTATCTAAATCGGCAGCTTTGTAAAGGAATCTGTACCAGTGTGGACTATAATTTGTCGGCTTCATGAAATTGTCATTATTTGTCGAAAAGTTGAGGAAGTGTTGACATTATTCCCAAATGGACTTAAAAGTAGACTTATTTCCCACTGTGTAACCACCTGGTAGGAAAGAAAAGAGGATGAAGTTGCATTTTGTTTTTAGAGATTTTTGAGCATATCGTACAAATATCTGGAAACAAAATTAGGAGGAATAAAAATTTGTGTATGTCAAAAGTAGCTATAGCACCCGGACTGTTTTTACTAAAAAGTGCTTTGTAACATTTGTACTGCCAACTAATGAGGATTTAGGGAAAAAATGTGTCGTCTGATATTCATTTTTATGCTTTTAGTCCATACTTGCCAACCTTTTGAAATTTTCATGGGGGAGATTCTGCGTGCTAAAAATTAAAAACATAAATAAAATGTGTACATTTTAGGGTCAAAAGAAATCTTCAGTATGATATATTTTAAGTTGGCCTTTCAGATGAAATTCTCAGATCTTTGAAAATAGGATTAGTTTAGTAACTGCACTGATTGGAAATGCTAAATATAAGGGCCCAAAACCGGGAGTCTCCCTCCTAAATAGGGAGGGTTGGCAAGCCTGGTTTTACTGTATAAGAAATAACTACCATATAAAAGAAACATTATCAACAGCCTTGGGTAGAAACACTTGTTAGGCGACTTAAATTTGGACACTGCAACATGAAAGTCCATAAAAAGATTTGTACTTCTGTTGTGCCCTGTTAAGCCTGCAGTAACCATTGTTTATAGGCCTCTTATCCTAGCCTGTGACCTCTGACCCTATGGAGGTTGTCGTTTATATCTGATAAGCTTACCGGTAACTGTTTCTATACATAACTTTGGTAAAACGTGTTATCGAATTTTTCAATTTAGAAACCTGTCAGCATTAAAATTCCATTGGTGAAACGGTTTTTTGACATTCTTCAATTGAGATTGTGCCAAATCCTGGAAAAGATTTTTTGGGTGAAAAAGATTTTGTATCAAGAGCGGTGCTGTGGAGAACTCATATGCTGGTTAGTCACCTGCTGACAATGTACCTTGGTGATTTTACCTGTTTGGAAAACTCGTTATATTGTTCAACAGGTGTGTGATTTATTTAATCTCGTGTTTAATGCTTGTATAATTTTTCTTTACAGAACGAAGAAAAACACAACCATGAGGTAAGTACATATGTAAGGGATGGGGTTGGGGATGCTGTTTTATTTAGAGTGAGTCGGGCTCGTGCAGAGGGCTTTGTTTAAGACATGCAGATGGGCTTAACAAAATTGGAACAATTTTATCATTTGATTAACTCATTCACCACCCGATATTTCATAATGAACTATTCCAACCTTTGAATTGGAAGAGTTCAAATGTGTCTTCAGGGGTAAATGAGTTCAAGGAATGTCTATTGACAAATTGACAAATAATTCATTATTTTAGTTCTAAAATAGATTATATATATGTATATTAAATTTTGGAGTCATTTCAAATAAAATCAAACAGTTTTGAAAAGAGGTGAGGAAAGATAAATTGAAACATTTGAAACATTGAAAAGTTTGAAAGAGTTTTGAATTTCTAAATATATTACAAGTGGATACTTAAAGCTATATTTTTAGTTTGACTAACCCATACTCGGATACTTCTTTTAGCTTTTTTTAGACATTTTTATCATATTTTTGTGGGGTTTTACAGAAAAAAACATAACTTATTTTTGGAATAGAAAAGAATGTTTTTCCACTGTTAGTCTTTGTAATACCGTGTATGAGATTTAAAATGATACCCAGGTTGGAAATGTACCTCAGTACCCCTGACTTGATGTCTGTAGCGCTGTCTGTTTCATGTCACATGTCACTGAAAACTGTAGTATATCACGTGTCCCATTTCCTCATTAAAGTATCCAGGAGTGCGAGGCATTTGTAATATTTCAAGGGAGAACTCATTGCTTGACATTGACATTACAAGGGAGAAGCGATTATTTGATTCAGATCTTGTTATTTTTGATCCAATGAAAGTTATCAAAACATGATACTGATAAGCACTGAAAATTTGGAATGAAAGTTTCAGGAAGGTCTCGAAGCTGTTTCTATTTATACAACAAATCTTATCTAGTCTGTCTAACAAGGCCAAGCTGTTTAGCGATCTGGTTCAGGAGCGACTACTGCATTACGTTCAGGAAAGTAATGTCTATTCCAGACGTGAACACTAAAAATTTGACATCTAACATGAAATATGCGAGATAATTTCCTGCCTGCCTGATTTTGGCTATTTTATCCATGTTGCACGTCCAAAGAATTATCGAAGTTCCAGACACTTTGTTGCGCAAAACTTTTTTTTATATTTGAAAAGTAAAATTCTCCTGATCAATCACTGAAGTTTTCGGGAAGCATGCCAGGAATGACATGTTGGTACACTGCAAACCTTGGTTAGAAAGTTCTGTGAATGCATCACAGAGTATGCGACTTATCTTATCATTTCCCTTACAAATAACTTGAAGTCTGATCTGTGTGGCTTTAAGCCCGCCATCCCGACAGCATTTGAAGACGGTGCCGAGTATATAATGACTGCTGTTTTATAGATAGAGAGCACAGGGATAAGGTGAAATTAAAAGAAGATTGTTGCAACGGTTGTGTGTCTTTTCCAGCTGTTATCCCCATCTTTTCATCTCTTCTTAATTTACAGATCCGAAAACTTCGACGCGAATTGGAGTCGGCCCAGGAAAAAGTTGTGACGTTATCGACGCAGTTGAGCACCAATGTGAGTGGGATTTGTATTATGGTCTTCGCCGTGTTTGTGTCATATTTACATGTAGATTTGGGTTTACTTTTGTATGTAAGGGAATTGTTTTAACATCTGTGTGTGTGTCCGGTCATTTGATCAACTTTGTGTGTATGAACGTTTTCCCTGCCTAGATGTCAAAGTCCAGATATTCTGATATCTCAACCCCGGAGGTAAGTGCACAGTACAGTCAAGAGATTAAATCTCCGTAAAAAAAATATATTGCAGACTGCTCAAACGAATCGGGTGGGATTAGACTGTTGGTTATTGTGATATGGCAGTGATCTCAATCTTTTCAGGTGTTGTCATGGCGATGGCAACTTTTGTGCCAGGATAGAATTGGATTTCACTTTTCTTGCTCGACAATAACCATATGACTCCTGCATACAACAGTGTAGATTAGTCCAGAGTTTGACGAGATGAATCGTTGACCGATCAAGAAGTGTATTGACATTAGGCTATAAACTTTAATTATCTTTCAAACTTTTTCTTGATATTATGCCATTGTTTTGCTTGTTTGATTTATGATCAGAACAGTTCAAGAACTAATTTTTAATGTCGTAGGAGGGAAAAAAATTGCGTGTAAACTAAAGTTTTAAAAATTATGAAATTTGTAAGATCAAGATAATGTTTTATTCTATGTAACTCTAGTTGCGATGCTAAAAATTCAATTGAAACATCCTGGTGACTCTAATTTTAAAGTTCACCCGTCTGGAAAACCACTGCTAACTCTATATTTAGACATTGGCGTTAATTGAACACACTTGCCTGTCTGTATGGTGAACTGATACAGGCTAATTCAGTGGCATGGTTACTGGGAGAGATGACTATCTCAAAAATCTCTCACATTTTGAAGAGTCGGTTGCTATGGAAACCAATTACAAATCAGATCACTTGGTTTAGAGATTAAATTCTTTCAGAAAAAAGTTTTTAAAAAGTTGTCTATTTTCTTTTTACCTCGGATGAAGAAAAATAGTTTTATATGTAATGGAACTTGTTATTTTCCCGTGAATATTTTTTTCTTTTAAAGCATCTCCCAGTGTTGTGATGAAGATTTGGAGGTGTGTCGGTATAATGGGGGATGTTTTCACTCTGATAAGATGTACTGCGTGTTAAAATTTCACGAGAAAAAGGAAAAAAAAAACTGTTTGATACTTTAGACTAGCTCTTCCTGTTGATAAGGTTTCTAAATTTAGTCTCTTGATGTCCACAGTCATAATACTATGTTATCAGACCTGGTTTTGGAGGGGGTAGGGGTGGGGGAGATGTTTTGGGATGGGAGTGGGGAAGGGGGGGGGGAGGAGATGTTTTTGATTATCAGTTTTTGTATATCCTGTTGGATTTGTTTATGTGTTGAACAGATTTTCGTAGGGGATGTTTTCATTAGTTGCTGTGCATAAAATGTTCAGCTCTTCTGAGGAATACATTTACTCAGAGTTACTTCCCTTTGTCCATAAAGTTATCTGTCATTGCTGACGAGTTGCTCTGCCTTGTGTATTGTTTACGTCAGGTCAGGTGAAAAAGTCTGACTAGAAAGGTTTTCAATTAATTTCTTTGTTAAGATCACCGGCTGCCAAGTCTTGCTGATTTTAGTTGTCTGATAACATAGTTCACTTGCACCTTCAACATTTTTTTCAAAAGTGGCAGGGGAATGAGAGACATCTCTCTTAGAGACATTTCCAGAGATGGTAACTGTGTATTACGGGTTTGATTGCTCCAAAAAGAAAAGTACAAGTGGAATAGCACATGTTTTGTACCAATACCAGCTCCTTGTTAACTCATTCACCCCTAAATGTTTAAACTGGACTTGCCCAGTCTTTGATATATGAAGGTTCAAATGTGACTAAGAGGGGTGAATGAGTTAAATACTAATGAAACAAGTGTTCATAGATCTTGTAATTGACTCTGTTGTAATAAAATGTGTGATGGGAATTAGGCCAGTACACTCATCTGACCTCTTGACCTTTTGTCTGAGGTCATCTGCATTGATACATTAGGATCCTCTGCACTCGGCCCTGTGGGCCAACACGAGTGTTTGATATATGTTTGAATAACTTGTCTCCTAATTTTTGAATGTAAAATAACTAAAGTTCATATATACCAGGGGGGGGGGGTGGATAAGATGCGACATAAATTACGAAGATTGGGAATTGGGAGGAAGGAATAATGTTTCTTGTCGCTTTCCAAGTCATTTAATTCATGTACTCCTGCCTCGCTCAGGTCACGTTGGTTCCCATTACGCCAACCCATTATGGAACATAATGTTTCCGAATTTGAATCCAAAATGAATCTCGAGACTTTGATAAGCATTCAAATTCTTCCATGAGAGATAGCAATTAATCTCCATGTAATCTTTTATAGCTAGTACTTGAGGTAGAAAACCAGCAAGCTGCCATCTATTTGATGTGCTTCTGACGGATTCATCTGATCATATTTTGGCAGCTTACCTGATTTTTATGTATTTTTCGCATCTAAACTATTCAGTGCTTCTGCTGTGTGAAAAGGTGTTACTATGGTTACGAGAGGGAGAAGTTAGATCTGTGATTTTTGGTACAAATCAGCACCGCAGGCCGTATTCTTTATCGTTCATCGGCAAACACGAAAATAACATTATCAGCGAACTTTTTTCTCATTTTTGATTTTTTTCCGTTTAATATTTCATAGTTGAGTCATTTCACAATTGACCCAGTTTTAAAATGCATATATAAATATAAATATACCAATAATCTAATTCATTTGAGTAACTTGTATAGTAAAAGTATATTAAAAAGAGTTTTATAAACCATCTAATAATACAGGATCTTTTGTTGACTCTATTGAGATTAAATGCGATGGCTATACGAACGGAAAACAAAAGAAATTAATCCATTTAGGATTTTTGAAAATTTTGCCTGCATTCATAAAACAACAAACAAATTCAGGATTCTGTGTAAAAGCTAATGTAAGTGAGAATATCTTTTTAAGATTTTACAAGGTGTTTGTCGAGTTGCTTAGCCTTACCTTGTAGCTAAATGCCATTCCCATGTTTTGTGTTATATCTTAGCCTTACCTTGTAGCTAAATGCCATTCCCATGTTTTGTGTTATATCTTAGCCTTACCTTGTAGCTAAATGCCATTCCCATGTTTTGTGTTATATCTTAGCCTTACCTTGTAGCTAAATGCCATTCCCATGTTTTGTGTTATATCTTAGCCTTACCTTGTAGCTAAATGCCATTCCCATGTTTTGTGTTATATCTTAGCCTTACCTTGTAGCTAAATGCCATTCCCATGTTTTGTGTTATATCTTCGATTCTATTGCAAGATCTTGGCAAGTTATAAAATAGTCTTAACACATAAATTAAGTTTTAGCATGAGAATCTGTTTAATAAAAAAATCTTTATTGCCATCAATGCAGATGATTATCAATATCAATTATGAAATCTATCCAACTAATATGATTGGGGGGGGGGGGGGGGGTAAAGTAGTGACCGAGGTTTAAAATTTAGAGAAATTCTTATCTGATGTCAGCATTTGTGTCCGAGAAAATAGAAATGTGGTAAATATTTGTATATGGAAAAAATGCAAAAATGTTATAATTATGGTGTAAAATAAATGAATGAGATGAATTTAACAATCTTTATGAATGTGATGGGAGGAAATACATTCCCTGTAATGTGGGTCACAGCAACTGCGGAAATGACGGATATGGAGAAGAAGATTTTCTGTTGATAACGAAATCTTTTATCCTTCCATCCCAGCGGTGTTCCATCTTGTACTAGGGTACTAAAGTCAGAACAGAAACATCCTTTTTACTCTGTAATACATTTAGGATGAAGGATGCTGTTGGGGGGTGGGAGGGGGAGATAACTTCAATAGTACTTGGACATTGGGTTACCGTGGTGAGCGACATCAGTTACCGGGGAGAACTAAATATAACGTTTTTAAGAGGTCAAACACTGTAGTGGCCTGTACCTAACCCAGTGTTGAAGTATCTTAAACTCCAGAATTTTTATCTGATGTAAATCAGCCTGGCACATTTTATCTCTAGGAACAAACTCCTGCTACAGAGAAGGAGCTTGAGCTCCCCGTCCAATAACACTATATTATCGCCAAAAGTTGGCAAAAAAAATTTACTTGTCTGCCATATCAAATCCCTCTTTTGAAGCTGGCAAAACATGGCCTGGCACTCATTACCACAAATCACTGGTCACTGATGAAAATCTGTCGGCATTTTGAAATTTTACATTCGCTTCGGAACACCAGTGAATCTTGTGTGTAAAAGAACAGTGTTGCTTTTGAAAATATTGTTTGAAGGCGAAAACCGCCCATCTTGAGATAGGTGCATAAGTAACTTAACACTGCGATCGTATAGAATTCTGTGGTTCAGACTGATATCTGAATAGTACAGCGAACAATTGATATTTCACATTGACCATCATTTTGGTCCACATTCTTTTGAATTCCGAGGACTTGTAAAAGAATATTTTGGACGAAATTTCAGGGGTGGCGTTACCTTTTTGGAAAAAAATATATTCTGGAAGAATTTTAGTGACATAATGATGGATAAAGGAATGGATAGTCGTTGTAAATCTATGTACGATGAGTGGAAGCAGACGACAGTTGATGACGACTACTACCCATACCACCCCTACAATAAGGCAAGTTATGGCACGGCATCTGTCACCATGCATAGTGTACAGCGCCCTCATAAGCAATTCTTGAGTGATAATGTTTCTAATCTTTCTTGCGACCCACATGTGTCCTCTTAAACGCCACAAAACAGTAAGATAAGGCATCTGTTATAAAGCAGATCTGTACAGAATTATAACATTCACTTTTGAAGTTGCACTTCTGTCAAGAAGTTGCAGACGACTTGCAGATTTGGAAGTTGATAACAATAAGACTTTTTACAAGTTGCAGAAGACACTGTAAAGCAATTTTTGAGCATCACAAGTAGCGAGACATTAGTCCGATTCTCAGGCATGTGCATCGTCTTTGTT